GTTAGGGTTAAACGTGTCTACAGTATCTCTGAGAATCTGGCCGTGGTGGAGAAGTTCACCTCAGTGGGCCAAGTTTACCTTAACACTGTGTAGTGATGTAGCAGCATTTTGCATAATTGAACATAATTGATCCCTCAAGCGAACTGTTCCTGTACGCTTGCTTGCCTGCTTGATTGCTTGTTTGCTTGCTTGATCTTTCCATCTGAGCGGGCATGTGGCCGTTCTAGCTGAGGTAAGATAAGGGAAACAGAGTCCTTCATTACACCTTGACTAAACGAGTCTTTGGTCAGCTGAATAAAATGTAAATGTAGGGGGAACCTGATCACGGGTGACTAGCGTGGCGACCTTCGTTTAGGCGGGAATAATGGTGTTAAACAATGACAATCTGAGCCTTATGTTACAGTGGCGGACTGACTGGCTGGCTGGCTGGTTAGTTCGGGGAAATGTGGGTCAGGCTGTGTTCCGTGTTTTCGTTACTTACCAACAGTTTCTAACACATTAACCCCGACACTAACTGAAAATGCTGTTACATACTCCAAGTCTTATTCACTATATATACGTAAACTAGATATAATATTCAATGTTTTGATTTAATTCTCATATTATTTTTCTAAACGGAATGTATTGAAGATAACTGATGTGTGTTGAATGTTTGATCTGAAAGACTTTACTCGAATATGTAACACTGATATATAAATACTCTGATTATACAGTACATTTTGACATATTATTTTGTTTCATATTTCCGGGTTCATGCAATTAGTCTATAGAGGAAATTAATTTATATTTTTCACTCTATTAAACAGTTTATTAAGAATAGATATTATTTACGATCTGAAATGACAACAACAACAACGAATTGGACAAAGACGATTTAAATCATCGTTGTGTGTATATGAATCATCACAACCGCGGGAGGTTTTGTAGATGAGGACCATTTAACCAGTCATCCAAGTTTTTCCACCTGACGCTGCCTGATGACCCGGGTCCTCCTCTGGCGAGTCACCCCCCCACCCCCCCTCCCTCCCATCCTCACCTGTACGGTCATGGCCAGTTACCTGTGAGTCATAAAGAAGAGATGATGTGTTTGTGGTGATTCATATGGTATAATGACTCAGGTATTGTAGTGACCCAGCCTTATAATGACACCGTAGCCCAGGTGTTTTTTTTGACCCAGGTGCTGTGTTGAGGGCAGTGGAGGGGTGGAGTCAGGATCCTCGAGTGTTCCAGAGGTCTCGAGTTAGCTGCTATGTGTACTAGACCGTCACTTCACGTCAGACAAACCAACACCAGACAGCTGTGTAAATTACTGAGTTTATCGTTGTGTTTAACTGACGCACACACACACACAAACCTCTGTAACAATTAAGGTTACACTGTTTAAAGTCTGCAAAAACGGATTTCCTCTTTTACTAAAAAATTACGTAAATTTTGGAAAATTAGTCTCGGGTTATATAGGATTAATTGATAAGGTGATACACTTTTGTCTTAGGTACAGCACTTAAACGCCTCACTCCCCCAGTTGAAAAGTTTGTTACCCATTTACAACTGGGTGGACTGGAGATGCCTCGGACTCGAACCGCCTACCCTAAAAACGGGAAGCGAACTCTGTATCCACTCATCCACCGCATCCCTTCATGTAGAAATAATGGTTGCCAAATCGCCAATTTTAATTTGATCATTATGTATTATCGAACTCGTCAGAGCTCTTGAGGAGATCAAAGTCCTTACCGAGATTAAAATTGAATAATGTGAAACTCCTTCAAGAGTTCCTGTGACACGAGAGATAAGTCAGGGACACGCGGACACATCGACCACTGAATTCCGTAAACGGTAACACTCTGAAAAGAAAAACTACGACGAATTGTATAATATATAGTCACCACAATGTATTTAACTCCAATATTAGTTCATGTGGATGTTTGGGACAGTTGTACAAGTATCACTCTGTTTATGCCCAGTGACCAGGAAGGTGAGGGAGGGAGGGAGGGAGGGACACAGATGTCTTGGTCAACAGGTGGTGAGAGCAGGTAGACTCACCCCTACCACTGCCCTCACGTTCCCACATAACTCAGGTGTTGGCATGAGGAATTAACGGATGTATGTATATCTTAGTTACTAATATATGAGGACTACTATAACACAACACTTTCACCTCGACTGAGAACTACACAACGAAACTTTACTGTCGTTGAAATATAAGTTTGGGGATTGAGCTAAACATTTATAAATAATTACATGAGAGAACGAAGATGCTCATAGAATTCTGTGTGCAGGAAATAATGGAAACGACACCTGAGAGCCATAAATTCAACATAAGGTGAGAATGGCTGACTACACTACCCCTGGCTGTAACTAAAAACGCCCTCTTGCACAGTACGCCATCAGGGCATACAGTAAAATCTCCTGGGAATGCGCTTAATAACTCAGAACACAATAGGATCCAACTGCCTCTCTACAACGCGGTTTCTTGGAGATAAATTCGCTCGGGAATACTTCTAATTACGGAGAACTTGTTGTAAAGGGAAGACGAACGTGTTTATACAAAGTGGGTAGCGTGAACACACAGTCAGCGGGGCGGTGTGTTGTGTTGGGCGGGGAGTCAACAAAGATGAGGATGTTGGAAGGGGGGGAGGAGGGGGGGGGGTTAGTGAGGCAGGTGTTGGCAGCGAGAGATATAGCGGTCATCCTCTCATACGTGACTTAGAGCAGCGGATAACCTTGTGGCCTGGGAAGGAACGTGTAGTATAGTGTAGTGTAGTACTGCCTTAACAACGATAGGAATAAGTCCTGGATCTTCCCACCATCTGAGGTATAACAAGATTTCGAGCATCAATTTGTGTTTTTACAGTCACTGATCAGAAGACACTCGGGTATATAGAGTGTTACGAGTTGGGGATTTAGAATATAGTTAAAAGTCTACCCAGATCCCAACAGGCAACAACAACAAAAAAACAAAGACAATCGGACTATAAAAGGGTAGACAAAGGATGCGAGTTTTTGTTGTGTATAATAAAGTACCATAAATTCCTTAACAAAATATTCAGCTATCTATAAATTACCCTTAACCATACTTAACCTAAACATTAACAGTATATACATATTTATATAACATACAATAATTTGAAGCAAGGTGGAGGTGGGGGAGGCAATACAAGATTACAAATACTTAAGTGCGGAGCTGAGATGGCTGACGAGTAAGGCTGAGTATTGTAAAAGACGGTAGGTAGTCACTGTGCAGTAGGTTTCCAGGATAGGTGATCCTGTGGTCACTTCCCAGAGTGAAGTCCTCTCTCCTCGAATTGGAGCTGACAAAGAAGACTTTGAGGAGGTGACGCAACAACCAGGATATGGAGAAGGGAAACCCGGGAGTGGTAACTAAGACGAGTCATACTCGTGTTTCGTCCCTAGATGGCGTTGCTCGTGGTGCTGGGTAGATAGATCAAGACAATAGATGGCGTGGTTCGTAGTGCTGGGTAGATAGATCATGACAATTGGTGGCGGGGTTCGTAACAAGAATGTGTCGTGTGGATCTGAACAGAGATGTGGACGGTAAACCACTAAATATTACGATCACTGGTCAAGGTATCAAACCATATACATCTAGTCCATACAGCTGTGAATGGCTATACTTAGCTTTACAATTGAGGAAATGAAGGTGGCAGAGTGCAGTGCCTCTTTACATGCTGAAAAATAAGACTCGTTCCCCCAGTGTGCTGCAGCCCCATTGCCCCCTAATATACATCAGAACATAAGAAAATAAGGAGTCTGCAATAGGCCGGTTTGACCTGTGCATGGCAGCTCCTGTCGAGTTACTACCACTCTCTATCATCCATAAATCTATCTAGCCTCCTTTTAAAACTTTCCAGCGTTCCAGCTCTTACTACAATGTTGCTAAGCTGTTCCACTCATCTCCCACCCTATTTGTGAACCAGTTTCTTCCTATCTCCCTCCTCAACCTAAACTTATCCAACTTAAATCCGTTGCTACGAGTCCTATCCTGCTCGTGATGGGTATATTTGGCCAGGACGATTGACTCTCGGGAGATAATAATACTCTCCTTCAATAATACTATAAACATCACATAAGGCTTCATTGTTACACGTCCTTAATGGTGAACTCATCTGACAGACGTGTGGATAGCGGTCTGACATATGTGACGTGTGAGAAGTATGTGATAAGTTAGTTTTATTTTGTGAAATTTACTGTGTGTGTGTGTGTGTGTGTGTGTGTGTGTGTGTGTGTGTGTGTGTGTGTGTGTGTGTGTGTGTGAGTTATAAATACCTCCAGAAGTCTATCGCTCAAGTACAGGTTCGGTATGTTGCCCGGGTGTAATGTAGTGTAGTGTAGTGTAGTGTACCTTGGAGGGCTTGAGATCTTCAGCATTGTTGTCCTGAGCTGTGACGTAGATGGGTAGGTGTTCTAATTTTCGTCTCCGGAATTAGTGGACGCCCTGGAATATATCTTCCCGAATTAGAGACATCACGTGTCTGGATGTACTCTCTCACACGTTGGCCTTAGTATCAGGGTCCCAGCCTTGAGAACTTACATAAGCCAGCCACCCCAAGGGCTCCTCACAAACCTGTTAGGTATACCTGTTAGCTATTATCCTGCGCTGTCCTGCCAGAGTGGGGAATATAAACGGCGTGTTTTTCTGTGTGTGTGTGTGAGGATATTGTAAAGACAATTGGAACAAATAATCTGTGTATCTTAGCTAAGCCTGGTATGTACTGTACTGTAGATGTCTCATAAAAATATTATCAATAGCCACTACGATCAGTATTTAAAGAACTATTATTACCTGGCGAATTAGTTAGCTTTAATGGCGAATTATTATTATTGTTATTATTATTATTATTATTATTATCATTAATATTGTTATTGTTATTATATTTTTTATTAGCACAGATTAACACAACCAACCTTAACCTTCAATAATAAGACGCGTCTGTGTGTTAGTGAGTACAATTGTTAATATCTGACTCTTTCTCCTTCATCAGGGTGAGGATCAGGTGAGTTTGTACCTGGACAGTGAAGCAGAGGCGGACACCTGGGCTACAATGCTTAAGATCACCACCGTCAAGCGTTCACTGCAACTGGAGGGCCTCAACCTGGAGTGTGGTGCTGCAGGTGAGTGTGTGTGTGTGGTGAGGAGTGTGTGGGTGTTGATGGTGTGTGGTGTTTGTGACGTAAGTGTTGTGGTAGTGTGTGTGGTGCATGGTCATGGTGTGTGTGTGTGTTTAGTGTATCTTATGAGTGTACAACAGCCTTAGTACCTGTGCACGTGCATGTCTCATCATCACGCACACCTGGTTTGTAAAGCTCATAAATAAACGTTCCTTCACACACTATTTTTCTCTCCTCTTCCCTCAACACTATCCAATCTCTCGCTTTCTATATCCTTGTTATAATATACAGGTTGATCTAAAAGTCCCCGTATACCTGTGATAATTAACGATATAGGTGTGCCTCGTTATACCTGTATTATAAGTAAAACATTGTCAATTACTGTATTGTTTATCAGGTATTGTTCGATCACCTTATATTTAACTTATCACGTCTCCAGGCATATATTGTAAGAGGTGGTAACTCTCACGTATGTACTGAATAATTGGGGGTTAAGCTTAATGTAAACGCAGCACTTCTAACTTGTGTGTGTGGTTATCCATTACTTCACCACTTATCTCTGCTGTCCTTCCTCCGTTGTTAATAACTTTCCTTTTGTTTTTGTAATTCTGTAGTTCTTCCCTCCTCTGTCTTTCTTCATACTTGATTCCTGTGTTACTGTGTTTGTGTTCCTTCGCCAGATTACCCCTCCCCTGGGGCTGAGGGGGATGTGTGTCGGGGGGACTCCTGCCACGGCGACACCTTCCAGGAGGACGAAGTGGACGAGGATGAGCTCACTAGGGAAGCTCTCGACACTTTAATTGGATTTCTTCACCCGTCTTATTGTAATTCTCCTCTTGTTGCACTTGTCTGTCGTTACCGTTACTTCCGTCACCTGTTACCTGTACACTCACTTGTCACGTTCGATTGTTTGCACCTCACAGTGAGGCAACATTCGCTCTCTTACCCCAGTGCACTTCAGTAGTGTTTGTGTCTTGAGTGTTGTTGTATCTGTCACTGCATCAGTACACAAGTCGTGAATCTCTTAATGACACCTTTCTGGCCCTAAATGACTGCTTGTTAACCTGTAGTGTTCGCCAGGTGAGGAGGAGGACACAGCCAGCGGGGACTCGTGTGAGACGGAAAGCCAGGAGGAGGAGGATGGCGGCAGTGGGCGGTGCGGGGTGACCCAGGACGCCCCGGGAGGCGGAAGTGTTCGTTTTCGCCATCCGCGTCGCCTCTCTCACACTAACGCCCGTGACGACTCTGGCAGGAGAGAACTGCTCCAGCAGATGTTGGCCACCAAGTCTCTCCTGGAGAAGAAACAGAAGAACCGACGATCAGGGGTGAGTGTAGAGCCTGATCCCCTGGTGTCACCTTGGAGTGATCTTTTCTTTAAGGAAATCCGCATTTTAGGTAGTTGTATTTTTTTTAATATCCTTACCCGGTAAAAAAAATACTGTCTCAGAATTTTTAATCAACTTTAAATTTTTCGTACAGATTATATTTATTTAACATCTACAGTATTTTGAGCTGCGAGTGAATTTTAAGGTGAGGATCAATTTTCTGTAGATTCCATCTGTATCGTTCATTGTTTCAAGTGTTCGAGTCCCTAACAATAGCCACTCCTTGACCTTTTGTTTGGGGTCACCTGAGCAAAGTGGTTTACAACACGCCACCAAACACAGTCAAAACTTATAAAACAAATACAGTCAGAAACGAATCTGTTAAAATCGATGTGTCGTTAAGAAATGTTCAGCGAAACCTATGTACAAGAGTTAATGTATGTGTGTTAGTCTGAAACTCAGGTTTAGCATTATGACGATTAAAGTGGTGACATGACTAACAGCAAGTGTCACTACAGTCTTTACCACCTGCCGATCTGACAGATAATAATGTTTGAACAATATTGAGAAACTTGGCTCCGTCCTGAACAAAACAAGTTCCCCAGGACAGCTATATATATATTAACCGAGAAGCCTTTATTATCTCACTACACCAGTGTTTATTATGTTCGGGAGAGGAAGTGTGAAGACGATACACCAACAAGATTAAGATTTAATCTCATCTATTATCACATGATAGCTTAGTGAGGGAGGACCTGTTCCCGGGTAATGTTTTGTTTTACAACTCGTGCGGTTAAGTTAAGACAGGTTCAGGGTTTACACGGTTCATATTCTCTGTCTGGCCTTTTAAGGATTACAGACACTCTTAAAAGGTTTCCTCCAGTAAGCATTCTGATTGTGTATACACTTGTCCAGCGTCAAGAGAGAGTTCCTGAGGGTGGCAGTGAGGGCACCAGCTGTAGACGCATAGCGAATGTCTTGCCACGCGATAAGGGCCTCTGTACAGTATATCGATTACCTAAAACTTAGGAATCTATTTTCACTAATTGTCTAATCAAAGTATCGAATCTATTAAAATTCTAATAGTACAGATAATATAAAGAGAGAAAGTGACGAGTCTTATTTTAGATTAGAACAATAATAGAACTTAGTATGTTACGCACGGGGTATTAACAGACCTTTAAATAACCACAGCGCAGCCTCAACGAACACACTGACAGCTGTACAAGTTCAAGAGAAAAATCAGTCTCGGTTGTCGCATTATTCCTAAACAGAAGAACACAGAGCGGCGAGTCGAAAGATATTAAAGAGTTTCACGATTTATTGAGAGAAAATAATGGTTGTTTGTTTTTCTCTCACAGTATGCAGTCACCTTAAATTAGCATATTACCCTGAGGCCCAGAAAAGGTGTTTGTAAAGATAGTCTATGGGATCCCTTCTATGATGAATAAAATCGTCTGCCGTTAGCTTTATACAATATTAAGAGTAGCGTCCCTGTAGTGAAGTGATTAACTAAAGCTCCTGAAGTTGCAGATGAGTTTTAGTGACATCAAGGTGTAAAAACGCTTCATGACCCGGAGAGAGGACACGGTGCCAAATAATGTGTTATTAACCAATATACTGACTTCCTAATAAATTCTGAATACAACCAAAATAGACGATGAATAAGTCAGGTACAATAACCATGAATAAAAGAATTGGATTAAAGTGATAAGCGTGTGAGAGAGTGATAAAGCTTGTGTGTAGGTAGTGTGGTGACGGTCATGGTTTTAAAGGCAGCTTGAATTTAGTAGGGAGGTGCGGGTGACGCTACTGCCCTCTGTCCCTCGATGTAACTCGCTAAGTCATCTTGGTATAAACAAAAGCTGGAGTAGTTGTGTGAAGGTAATACAATAAACATCTCAAGTGAAGAAGTAGATCGTGAAGCCTTCCTGATATTCTTTTGTGGCTATGTATAAATTTTATGTTGTAGAGACCCGGCCATTCATTGTTTATCATCTGTTTATATACGACTGAGAAGTTCCCAGTGTTGAGTAGTGTTGTAATCTTGCTGCTGGTGTTGTAGTGTTACCCCTGGTGTTGTTGACTTACCCTGGTGGTGTTGCAGGCAGGGGCGTGGGTCCTGACGGCGGGGGAGGTGGTGAACGAGTACAATAGGGCACAGCACGAGGCACAGCAGTCTGCCCTAAGGAAGGCCGTCATCCTCAGACAACGTAAGAACTCAACGGCCATCAAGGTAAGCGCTTTCGTGTAATTCACATCTTCAGGGGTGAGTACAGAGTAAGGAGTAATACTTGAGGAAGTTTACGCTGGTCTGTCCCTTTAAATTGATCTGTGAGTAATGTAATAATTCAACAAAGAATACGATATGTTATTACGGGAAACCATAGTAATAAAATAAAGCTTCTTGCCTTCCTCTCTGCAAATTTGACTCTGCTAGAAATTTATTTTATATACATTACCTATATCTACTGTCTTCCGCCTATATAATATTAAAATAGGGCTAGTGTGTGAGTGTTGGTCAATGTTCATAAAAATGGCAGATGAAATTCAGTGTGGACAAATGCAAAGTACTTAGTCTAAGAGATGTAAACAGAGAAACCTATCAGATGAACAACCATGTGATAGAGAAATCCGAATGTGAGAAAAATTTAGGAGTAATGATAAGTAGGAATCTTAAGCCAAGTAATCAATGTGAATTTGCTCGAAACAAGGATTATAAAGTACTTGGGTTCATACAAAGGAGTGTTAGTTACAAGACTAGAGAGGTCATCCCAAAACTATATCTTGCGCTTGTGAGACCTCACTTGGATTACGCAGTTCAATATGGTCACGGTATTACAGAATGGATATAGAATCCCTCGAAAGAATTCAGAGGAGAATGACGAGACTAATCCCGGGCATTAGGAACCTTGAGTACAGAGACAGGTTAAAGCATCTTAATTTGCACTCCCTCGAGAGACGTAGAGTGAGGGGCGACATGATAGAGGTGTATAAATGGAAGTCAGGGCTAAACAAATGGGACATTACAAAGGTACTCAAACTATCCAATCAGGAGCAAACTCGTAACAATAGTTTTAAATTAGACAAATTTAGATTTAGGCGCGAAATAGGTAAACACTGGTTTGGAAATAGAGTAGTGGATGAGTGGAACAAGTTACCAAACATCATCATTAACTCGAATACGATGGATAGCTTCAAACATAGGTTGGATGGATATACGAACAATACGGATTGGGTTTAAATGGGAATGCCTAGTATGCACCAATAGGTCCGCTGCAGTTTCCTCCATTCTTATGTTCGACCCATAGCCTTAATTAATCACCTAAGGTACTGTAGAATATATTTTATCATTGTATAGAGCATATCTGAGTTGACGTATGATTGCTTGAGTTGACGTATGGGTGCCTGAGTTGACGTATGGATGCCTGAGTTGACGTATGGGTGCCTGAATTGACGTGTGAGTTCCTGAGTTGACGTGTGGGTGCCTAAGTCAATTTACAATGTGCTTCAGTAGACTACCAGGCCTAAGAACATCCATTATTACAGATGGCGACGCTGGAGAGACAACAGTCATCCAAGAAGACCCGGGAGGCAGACGTGAGTGTACAACTGGAGGCGTTAAGGAATCGTCTCTCCTCTCTGGACACCCAACTGAAGGAGAGCGAGCAAGACACTGAGAGGATGCTGCAGGATCTCGAACAAAGACGAAACCAAGAACTTCACCTCATTAAAGATTTGGGTAAGACGTCCAGGGCCTCAAGAGATTAACGATGGAACAGATAGATTTGGATCTCGGTGTGGGAACGAAAGTCATACATTTATTTAAGCTTAGACTATAAACAACAGCAACACATAAATTGACTTTAATCTTACACGTATGATAGGAGATATTAGTTTAGGGTGATAGGTTATATCGGTATATTGATCATTTGAGTGACTGTAGGAAGTATGTAGAATGGCAGAGAGAGAGAGAGAGAGAGAGAGAGAGAGAGAGAGAGAGAGAGAGAGAGAGAGTTAATGTTCGAGTGTGTGAATCACTTAATGTCATGAGGTCACCTTTTCTCCACTTTACAATGAGAATGAAACCAGAGGAGAAAGTGAAGGTAATGTGTGGGAGGTGGGCAGGGAATTGAATTTTGCCACAGATATTGACTAGTTTATTGTGCACCATATACTCATTCTGTTGGCGGTAGCACAAAAGGATTACGGTGTAGTGATCACAAAGGATGTGCATAACGGACCTCAGTAGTCAGGATATTGTGGCGTTGGGTGTTACAGAGTATTTCCAGTACATGTGCGTAGGAGTTGACTTAGCCTTCAAGTACAGAAAATGGATACAGTCGTAATATATCAGCTGTCTTCCCTCCAGAGATGAAGTTTTGTGCCATTTCACACACACTGTCCTTGAACCTGTCCCAAAAGGTTATTTATTTTCAGTCTGGGGCGTAGTGTTGGAGTGTGTGGCCATATGTCTGACCACACACTTTACATTTAATTTTGTTCATATCAGCGCAAAGGTCATACTGCCAGAGGCTCTTATATCCTAACCTTAGTCTAGAGAGGTAAGCAGGAGGGTGGGCAGATGACTGATGGTGTTTGTTATCCATGTCTACATAAAATTTGAGATAAAAATAACAAATAAGTGATAATGATGAACGATACGTTGATATTAATAAAATTCTAGTCGAATCCTTTTTATTTTTATCAACTATGAATGTAACAGTATTGTGTGTGAATTATTAATTAAAAAAATCATTAGATATCTTGATGTGGAAAAAAACCAAATTGAAAAGGGAAGAAATAGCCAGATTGTGATATAAAAAAATAAAATACTTAAGTACGACATTACTCCTTAAAGGGTTAATTTATTTAGGCTAGATTGACCCACCAATTGCTTATGTAAGCAAAGATCACGTGACCTTATCTGTGTGTGTGTGTGTGTTTAGGGAGGGGGTATGAGAAGAAAGGGAGACATTGCAAAAATTAGATTGTATTTTCATTCTGAACTTTCGACAGCAGCGACAAAGATCACGTGTGCATCTTTAATAAGTGAAAAGATTGATGAATATTTGATCATTCAGTGAGTGTCATGAGGGCGACCACCAGGTGTCCTCACTGGGCACCTCACAAACACCACTTCTGAGTTCTAAAGAATTTGAATTTAGAAGTTTTGTGCTCCCCAAACTCACGCTGTGGACGGTAAAACAAAGAAGGTCACAGAGTAGAGGTCACAAAGGGGCCTTCTCTGAACTAGTTGTCAGATTATTGTAGTACTAGACATTACAGAGTTAATTTATTGTATAACATCACAAAGTCATTTTTTTACAGTATATCTAATCTGCTTGGTGAAAGATGTGAATACAGTCACAAGATATCACCTTTCTTCCCATCAACAATTAAATGCCTTGACAGTGCACACAGTCCTTAGTGTGTGGCCATACATCTGTTCACATACTTTATATTTTGTAGATGTATGTGAGAAGGAATCCTTAACGTGATCTGTATCTGGCCTCAGAGACAACCATGTGATAGTTAGAGGTGAGGATGTTAAGAGCAAGTGATAATGATAGAGCCAATGATGATGAGAGTGTCTGCGGTAGTGATTTTCTACAATACATTATAAGAGCAGCGAGTGTTTTTTTTTTTTTTTATACGGGGGTTAGCCCACCCGGACACAGGTCACTGACCCACATCAAGGCCTGGGGGACGAAAATGTAATAATAATAATAATGATAATAATAATAATAAAGAACCATAAAGAAATACAAAAATGAAAAAAGATCAAAAGTGAGAAACAATATATGTATGTTGTGTTGTCAATAGTAAGTGAAACAATTGAGACCCTGTAATTGTGTGTAAATGAGGCAGAAAGTCAGATTAGCAACCTGGGACTTGGTCACAATTTTTGTGATGCCATATGGCAGCAGGGTCTACCATTAGACAACACATTATGCTTCCAATATCTTCCAAGGCGGTAGTACCTCCCTGTTTGGTAGCTGCCTAATACCTGCTACCTACCAGTATGGTAAACAGTTCAATTTGTGGAGTACTGTAGATGCACAATTGATTCGACTCATTTCTCCAGTTTGTTAGCATTTGGTTTAGTGACAATAACAGCCCCCACCCCAGGCAGAAAAGTCTGATGGGTGTTGTTTTAGTCTGGAGGTTATGTATATATTCAAGAACAGTTGTTTTAGCAAGAGCCTGACATTCATTTCCACGCCAAAAAAAAAAAATAATTCCATCTCTGAGTTCAGTAATAATACGGCTATATTATGTTACCATGGGTTAAGTAGTGGAGATCCTCACACCATGCAAGGCCTTTATAAATTATCCTGGTCAACACATTATTCTTGTATCATCTCTGTGTTGACCAGCCACTCCAGTTTTGATATATGCAGTCACCATGTTCCTTAGATCAATATTTAACTTTTATTTACAAATATATTGATATGTGGATAATTTCTCTTCTATAAAGATAACCAACCACTTAGAAAATTACAGCTAAAGTATTACCGTCGACGAAAGCTCCACTCACAGCCGTATCGTCTCTTGTTAGTCCTCACTCGTAGCTAAGTTCAGAGAATTACTGCCAAACATAAAACCTAATTTATTACTCTGTCGCAGGAAAGTTTAAGAGTTTCCAGTCGTCCTCCTCCAGCAGGTGACCACAGCTGGCGTCGCTCTGCCTCATATTTTCTCTGGAACGTCTAGACTGTTTTAATAGTTTTCACACAGACTCCACACAACTTATGATGACCCAAGATATTACCAGAAATCTGAACATTTCCATTTATATTTCGCGACACGTTCAGCTTAAATTATATTCAGTTACATTACAACTTTTATTTAATGTGTTAGTTGATATTCAGATAAAGGATGGAATACGAATAAACTTATGACTGGTGAAAAAAAAAAGGCATCAGATCAGTTCCAGAGTTGCGTAATATAGTAATGTGTTGGATCCAATTTTTTACAATGTTTTGAGACTTAGGGAAGGCCTCCAGAGTCTCTTAAGTTGAAAGAATTTTTTTTTAGGTTATGTCTGTAAAAGAAACGTAAATAACATATCTACAGGACCAAAATCATTAGTGTTATATTAACTTTATAAAATGTCCACCTGCTGAATTTTTCCACATCACAAGGAGTAACTTTAAGGATTCACAGTTTGGTATGACAGGAAGGATATCTGATCCTAAAGACATATTATTCATGTCTCTTATATATATTCATAGACTGAAAATGAACATCGCATTACCTCTGAACCCCCCCTGGCATGATCCCGTGAGTGATGTCTTGGTGCAGGATGAGGTGGGCGCGAGTCAGCGCTTGATGTTACAACTCTCCTTGCTACTTTGATATTCACGGCCTCACGCGCTACATTATCAGCCTGGACGGCCCTGCTCTTTTACTGCTCCTGCTGCTCTTACTTCTGCTTTTTTCTGATGATCTTGCTACTGTTGGTTCTGCTGCTGCTGTTTAATTATGCTGTTCTTGACCTTACTCTTGTTTTCGTGTTATTATTGTTATTTGTTTTCTTATGCTGCTCATGTTTCTGTCACTTCTCTTGTTGAACCTGTCCTTATTACTGCTGCTATTACTGTCAGCTTTAATGTATCAGTCCTTCCACACCTTCTTCTTCTGCTGTAGCTGTCGAGTGTGCTAATACTGCTCCTTCTGCTGTACTGCCGGGTGTTCTGTTACTGCTCCTTCTGCTGTAGCTGTCGGGTGTGCTGTTACTGCTCCTTCTGCTGTAGCTGTCGGGTGTGCTGTTACTGCTCCTTCTGCTGTACTGTTGGGTGTGCTGTTACTGCTCCTTCTGCTGTACTGTTGGAGTGTGCTGTCACTGCTCCTTCTGCTGGAGCTGTCCAGGTGTGCTATTACTGCTCCTTCCTGCTGTAGCTGTCAGGTGTGCTGTTACTGCTCCTGCTGCCAGCTGTCTGGTGTGCTGTTACTGCTCCTTCTGCTGGAGCTGTCGTTGTGCTGTCACTGCTCCTTCTGCTGGAGAGCTGTCGGTGTTCTGTGCTGCTCCTTCTGCTGTAGCTGTCGGTGTGCTGTTACTGCTCCTGCTGCTAGCTGTCAGGTGTGCTGTTGCTGCTCCTTCTGCTGCTGCTGTTGGGTGTGCTGTTACTGCTCCTTCTGCTGTACTGTTGGGTGTGCTGTCACTGCTCCTTCTGCTGGAGCTGTCAGGTGTGCTGTTACTGCTCCTTCTGCTGTACTGTTGGGTGTGCTGCTCCTTGCTGGAGCTGTCGGGTGTGCTGTTACTGCTCCTTTCTGCTGTACTGTTTAGGTGTGCTGTTACTGCTCTAGCTTCTGCTGGAACTGTCAGGTGTGCTGTTACTGCTCCTTCTGCTGTACTGTTGGGTGTGCTGTCACTGCTCCTTCTGCTGGAGCTGTTGGGTGTGCTGTCACTGCTCCTTCTGCTGTACTGTTGGGTGTGCTGTTACTGCTCCTTCTGCTGTACTGTTGGGTGTGCTGTCACTGCTCCTTCTGCTGGAGCTGTCAGGTGTGCTGTCACTGCTCCTTCTGCTGGAAGCTGTTGGGTGTGCTGTTACACTGCTCCTTCTGCTGTACTGTTGGGTGTGCTGTTGCTGCTCCTTCTGCTGGAGCTGTCAGGTGTGCTATTACTGCTCCTTCTGCTGCTGTACTGTTGGAGTGTGCTGTCTGCTCCTTCTTTCAGAGCTGTTGGGTGTGTACTGCTCCTTCTGCTGTACTGTTGGGTGTGCTGTTACTGCTCCTTCTGCTGTACTGTTGGGTGTGTATTACTACTCCTTCTGCTATACTATTGGTTGTGCTGTACTACTCCTTCTGCTGGAAACTGTCAGGTGTGCTGTTACTGCTCCTTCTGCTGTGCTGTTACTGCTCCTTCTGCTGTACTGCTGGGTGTGCTGTCACTGCTCCTTCTGCTGGAGCTGTCGGGTGTGCTGTCACTGCTCCTTCTGCTGGAGCTGTTGGGTGTGCTGTTACTGCTCCTTCTGCTGTACTGTTGGGTGTGCTGTTGATGGATCCCAGCAGAACACATTACGGCCTCTTGATTATGTTGTGCCTAATAGCTCCCGAACGTAAACGGAGAATCACCTGAAGAACCTCCATCCCAGCTTAGTTCACCTAAAGATTAACCTCCCTAACAATATTTTGAAAGGATGAGGTTAGGTTAGGTTAGCGTTTGGGTGGTTTGGTTGAGTTAGCGTTTGGGAGGTTAAGATTGAGGTCAAATAAGCTGGGGTGGGGATTCTTCAGGTGATCCCAAAAGAGAATTACATACTAGTGTCAGTCCGCTTTTAACACTGCAAGATGTACTGTACATAGTGTCAAGATATATGTAGATCATTCATCGTTGTGTTATATTGTAGGGCCACTGTGTGTGTGTGTGTGTGTGTGTGTGTGTGTGTGTGTGTGTGTGTGTGTGTGCGTGTGTTAGAGTCCATTTAAGGTTTATAGTATTATTTCATCTGATGGTGTTTTGTTACAGCAACTCTATATTATTCAACTTCAACTCATTATTTAGAACAAAGTCTAGAAAATAAGGACAGAATACAATTAATCGTTTATTGAATACTGTCTTAGAAATGCCTTTACATGAAATGATAAATAAAACTCAAATAAAATAAATTTACGTATTTCTCCTGTCATCACCGCAGTATTTAAGGGGAAAGAAAATGATGTAAGTTTTAAGGAAAAGGTTGCATTTCATCTGTAATGCTTCATATATTTCCTCTCTTTATAGACAATACATCAAAACATAATCTATTAAAGAGTTGGCCACAGTATGTACAGTATTAACAAGATATAGGATGAGGGTAATGTACAGTATAGTTTCCGCTGAAAGAGAATTATTGGTCCGTTTTCTCTCATGTACTGACGCGCCGCTATACCTGCAGGAGGCGTGGACGACGGCCTTGGAGGGGAGCTAGGGGGCGTGTCTAGAGGCTGCGGCAGTGAGGAGGGCACCTTGGTGAAGGGTTCTCATGGAGGATCACTAATGGGCTCTCTTCCCTCTATCCCTTCCATTGTTGTCTCCCCCAGCGAAAGAAAGGCGCCAGAGAAAATTTTCGGAATTAAGGTATGACTACTTGACTCCCGCCTCGAGAAGGTATTTTATTATACCTGTACTTTTAGTCATCATAGAAGTACCAGTATAATTAAATCTTTATATTTTTGTTTTTATTATATTAAGTTATTAACATTATAGAATAAAAGGAATCGTTTAATCAATAATTATCTTTAGTATTTCTGAAACACATTGTTATTTGTTTTTTATAAGAATATTTATATCTTCAAGGAATAACAGCTTCCACTAAAGAAAATAAAGATAAAAAATAAATGAGATTAGTTAATATTCTATCGGAAAATATTACGATGCAGAGCCTAATATAGTTATTTTTTTCTGTGATGTGTGTGGCTATGACAGTAACGATAGTAAACCTATAACTAGCCAAAATTGGGCTCAAGTGCACTTTATCTGTCCCCCCCCCCCACTAACCACATACTAGACCCCATTAACCACATACTAGACCCCATTAACCACATACTAGACCCCATTAACCACATACTAGACCCCATTAACCACATACTAGACCCCATTAACCACATACTAGACCCCATTAACCATATACTAGACCCCATTAACCACATACTAGACCCCATTAACCAAAGAATAAGTTACTAGACCCCATTAACCAAAGAATAAGTTACTAGACCCCATTAACCATATACTAGACCCCATAACCAAAGAATGAGTTCCTAGACCCCACTAACCATTAACCATAGACCAGTCACTAGACCTTCACTAACAAGGTCTCTTGTCGGCAGGTGGGTAACAGGGAGGGTCGACTGAAGGCTCGTAACCCACTCCATTTCCTGGACCTGAAGCTTAGAGTGTCACGGCGCCACAAGAGCACAGAATGTCTCACCACCACCACCACCCTCCCTCACACACCCAACAGATCGTGAGTACCATCCCCCCAAACAGTGTCGTGTTGCTCCTCACGATTTTCTTTGTTTTTGTATTTCCAGATGCAGAAGTTCAAGGCAGACATACAGTATTTATTTTAGTATTTTGACTATCCACACCCATAAACCCGGTACAGTACAATATACACACCTACTGACCAACCATGCACCTCCCAACAGCCAATCAATGACGGCTTTTGCTGTGAGCGTCTGAAGCGATCCGTTTTAGTGAAATTTCAAGAGACCGTTCTTTTTTTTAACGATCCACACTTGGTTGGGATAGTAGAGTTTTGCCTGACCTTATTACCTTAAAATCTGAAGCCCAAAATCTTGTCCTTATGAAGTGTGGGATAATGTTTTAGGCTAACGGTGGTTCCTTCTGTTCATTTTACGATTTTTTTCCCAACAGGGTTATAGCTTGTTTGTTCGAGAATAAAAAACTTAAACATATTGACATTATACTACATCTTTATATTTTTCTTCTTTTATGACCTGAACAAGCCTGTCATTATTCCCATAAGAGTTAAAAGACGCTGGAAGACGTCTTACAGTGCTGGCTATCACCGATGTTATTTTTATGGGGCTGGAGAAGTATATCTATGACAGACGCTGCTGGTTTCATGACGCCGTGTTGGTGAAGCTGTCTGGTTAGTTATCTCAAGAATGACGGTAAGATATGTATTTTGTTGGTCGGAGATGATGCTAGCCTCTTGTTTGGCATAGATCTTATTCAATGTATTCCTTTGAGTGTACTTATATCCTTTCATACTTTGGTGGTGATCTTTGGATGCTCATATTTACACATCAAAATATTGTTCTTCGACACTTCCAGTTTTAGGAAGAGCCGATGCTAACAGGCTGAATTATTATAGACTCGTGTACGCTGGTGGGAGGGGGGAGGTCTTTAGAATATACAGAGTAAACATTAAACCTTTGTTTTGACTAATCTACTTTTGTCAATAAAGGGGATCGTTACGAGTTGGGTATTTAGAATATAGTAAAAAGTCTACCCAGATCCCAACAGGTAACAACAATAAAAAAAAAACAAAGACAATCGGACTATAAAAGGGTAGACAAAGGATGCGAGTTTTTGTTGTGTATAATAAAGTACCATAAATTCCTTAACAAAATAATCAGCTTCCTATAAATTACCCTTAACCAAACTTAACCTAAACATTAACAGTATTTACATATTAATACAACATAAAACAATCGTGAAGCAAGGTGGAGGTGGGAGAGGCAATACAAGATTACAAATACTTAAGTGAGGAGCTGAGATGGCTGACGAGTAAGGCTGAGTATTGTAGAAGACGGTAGGTAGTCACTGTGCCGTAGGTTTAGAGGATAGATGATCCTGTGGTCACTTCCCAGAGTGAAGTCCTCTCTCCTCGAACTCGAGCTGACAAAGAAGACTTGGAGGAAGTGACGCAACAACCAGGATATGGAGAAGGGAAACCCCGGAGTGGTAACTAAGACGAGTCATACTCGTGTCTCGTCCCTAGATGGCGTTGCTCGTGGTGCTGGGTAGGTAGATCAGGACAATTGGTGGAGGGGTTCGTAACAGGATATAGATAAAGTTCTTATAATATCCGAGCAGGATAGGACTCGGAGCAACGGATTCAAGTTGGATAAGTTTAGGTTTAGGAGGGAGATAGGAAGAAACTGGTTCACAAATAGGGTGGTGGACGAGTGGAACAAGCTTAGCAACTTTGTAGTAAGTGCGGGAACTCTGGAGAGTTTCAAAAGGAGGCTAGATAGATTCATGGATGATAGAGAGTGGTAGTAACTCTCGACAGGAGCTGCCATGCACAGGCCAACCGGCCTATTGCAGACTCCTTATTTTCTTATGTTCTTATGTCATGGCGAGTTATCTGTGTTGGTGTCGCAGAGAATTTATTGTTTTGTATAAGTTGTTTCCTCCCGTTTGAGAGGATCACTGTGAGACAATATAGCATCAACTCGACTTATCTGTGCCTGTCTGTGTCTGGTGAGGGGGGCTGGCTAAGATTAGTTACAGTCGCCCACAAAAGTCCTGTTGCCTCTGCTGCTCCACAAACCCCGAGAGTCAGACTTGTAAACCCAAAGGAATAGACACCAATGTATTAATCTGTCCATAAATGCTTCGGATTCACGAGTCTGAATCTCCGGGTTGGGTTCGTGAAGCAGGAGGAGAGGTAACAGGACTTTTATGGGTGACTGTATAGCGGTGTGGCGGCCAGCAGATGGTAGTAGTGTCGTGACAGGGGAAGAGTAATGGCGGATGTTGTAAAGTGACACATGATCCGGAGCTGACTTATGTGCTTCTTTCATGACATCATGGAGCACCGCCCAGGTAACTCTAGTCGAGGTCCTCACATGACAGAGCGAGTCACCTCCTTCTCAGAACAGATAATTTAGCCTTTATTTTAATACCAGTTTTCTTCTCCCATTAATATATCCTTTACTTTAATATAGCTTTCATCTTGATACCTATTTTTTTCCAAACTTAATATAGCTTTTACCTTACTGCCCGTTTCCTTCCGTAATAGATACCCTTTATAAAGAAAATATCCACTGTCTCTTGCTGTAATGCCTCTGGTGTCAGGGGAGACCTTGCCAGCACCGCCACACTTGTTCTTCAACCTCAAAGACTGAACATTCCTCACAGACTCGAACGTATCCTTGCTACCTGCAGATGTGTTTATCATTGAGGAACATTCGAGTCTGGACAATGATGATGAGCGTTTTACGATTCGCCACAAAATTATGACTCGAATTTAAGAATCGAGTTTCGTTGTGGACTTGCATGGGAGAAAGAGGCAGCGAAATGTAATCTGTCCCTTGAGAGTTTCACTGGCTTCGTATAACAGACGTCAGTAACACACAAACTGCCCAATCATGCGCCTCCCAGCAGCCCCAACAGCCAATCAGTGACGACTTTTTCTGTGACCTAACCTATCCTGACCTTGCTGTGACCTAACCTATCCTGACCTAACCTGATGTATCCCTTTATACGTGTACACAATAAAGACGTAGATATAGGAGACAGGGAGAGAGTTTATAGGGGAGAGGAGGAGAGAGAATTACGCACATCTTGAAGACAAAGAGACATTAATAAAAACAAAAGACAAGCGATACATACGAAATGAAAACAAGAAGAAACTAAAGGGGGATTAATAAGAAAGATAAACGAAGAAAGATAAAACAGGAGGAAAGGGATAATGAAAGAAGGGAAGCAGAAGCCAGATAAGAATAAAAGTCTCAGCGGGGAGGGAGCTGTAACGAGGGGGTCTAATGAGGGACTAGAAGCTGGTTTATAAAAGATGAGTGTTGTTGTATACCGTCCATTGCATAAGACTTGATAAACAGGAAGGAGAGGAAGACCGAGAGGGGTGTGGGTGACGAGGGAGAGAGGAAGGGTGACAGATAATACGGGCGTGACGCTGTGTGTGGACGAGGAAGGGCGGAGCGACACACACACACACACACACACACACACACACACACACACACACACACACTCTCTCTCTCTGAATATTATTACGAAAAAATATTACAACTATGAGTGTATTATTTTCAAATATAGAAATATCCCTTAAATTACTTTGGAGAGAAAGAACTGTGAATACATTTATGATATAATTAGTGATGACCTGATGACCAATATATAATTTATCAACATATTCATGATAATATAGACACCGATAGGAATATATTTGCTTGTTTGCTTGCATTTACAGTCAATACATCTCGTTTGATTGCCTTGTTGCTGAAGTGGTTTCCTTGTACTGTATAACTCTTATTCATATTTACAACACACTTCTAAAGGCCCTTATGTTATACAAGAGATGGTTTCTGTTGACTTATGTTGTTAACACAGTTGAGGGCAGGAGGATGGTGTTAACTCTATATGCTAAGGTAATTCCCGCCTCCTCGCCTGTATTGCACCGTCAGCCAACTCACAGGGGCACTCAGTCCTCACCTGGACCCACTGAGTTCATTTCGGAACGCCTGAAAAATCTCCATCCCAGCTTATTTCACCTGAAGATTAACCATCCTAACACGATTTGGGGGGGTGAGGTTAGGTTAGATCAAGTTAGGTCAAGTTAAGTTAGCGTTAGGGTGGTAAATATTCAGGTGAAATAAGCTGGGGTGGTGTTGGTATTAGAGGCTTCAGCTGCAGCTATTGTGTCGTACACGGACGAGAGACATGGCTCGGGTGTGCCTTTTGTCTGTTGCTTGTGTTTGGACGGGAACATTGTGCTGGAGGATTCAAGTGTTGTATTGTGTCTGTACGGTTCATTTGTATTATGTATACATTTTTATTTGTGTGTGTGTGTGTGTGTGTGTGTGTGTGTCAGCCCGTTACTCTTCTTTTTTTACGGGAATTAACCCACCCGGGCACAGGTCAAACGACCCACAACGGAGCCTGGGGGGCGAAAAAAAAAAGAATGGAAAGAAATTGAAAGTATAGAAAAAAAAGGTTATACTGTATTAATCTACACCACGAAGATGGAAAACCAGCTTTTTAAAGTGAGACATTTTAAGAGCAAGGAAACACAGATGAAGGCAGAGCATTCCACAGTTTGGCTGTGTGAGGAAAGAAGGAGGTACTATAACGGGTTATTCTTGACCGACATCCACAGAGAAATGGTGGGCACCGCGGGCAAGACGTGTTATGAACCCACGGCCTTGCCGGCGGTACACAGGACGCCAAATCCACTGAACATTGCCCGTTAAAGTATCTAAAGAGAGAGAGTGAAGCAACATTGCGGCGAAGAGAAAGGGAGAGAGATTGTCGACTAAAGGAGGAGAGTTAATAAGAGGAAATGCCTTTGATTCCACCCTATCTAACAGTTGGACAGAAGAAGAGCCACCCCAGATATGAGAGCAGTACCTCAGGACGAATGAATCCCTTTATATACTTGGAGCAACTGACTTCATAAAACGCCACGATCAACACAGTAACTTTGCTGTTGTTGTTAGCATATCGTTCATGAATTCTGCGTGAGGGAACACAGCCTCGCCCGACTCGCTGGCGTCACTACCACCTTCCATTCATTACTGGTTGTCACGCACTGAGAACTAACTACGGCGCACTGGGAACCATTGACCCTTTTGTTAACATTGTAATTACTTATCAAAAATTTTGAGTTAATATTAATATTCTTCTTTTGGTTTATTTATTATATCATAAGTGGTTAAAATACTGTCCATGGGATAGAATATTCATGTGAACTGTGACCTGATGATCCAGTTTGTTTGTTAGGAGAAAGTAAACAGTCCTCGCCATATTATTGCCAAACAAAAAAAATAACTTTCCTTCTTTCTCCTCTTCACCCCTCCTCTCCTATCCCTCACCCCCTCCACTCCCACCCCTCACTCCCTCCCCTTTCAACTTTCCACCTTCCCCTCCATCCCACCCCTCCTCTCCTTCCCCCTTTCCCCTCCTCTCTCACCTTTCCCCTCCCATTTCAATCTTCTTCACCCCTTCACGTCATGTCCTCTCGTCTCCTCCTCTCATCCTTCCTCCTCCCTTCACCTCACGTCCACATTTTCTACGCAGTTTTAGAAAGGACAAATTCAAGGCGAGGGAGGAAGAGTGTCGTCGGGTGTCAGGCAGTATGAGGTGAGGTAGACGACGGTGTAAGGTATGGGTATAGGAGGCAGCATGGTGAAGATGGATGTCTTGTAAGGATAAGGATTGTACACAGGGAAGGATGAGAAGGATCTGAGGTGTGGAAAAGGGTATGAAGTAACGAGATTGAGGATGGTAACATGATTTCAGCCATTGACGATATTGTATACCATGGTGGGGTGAGGGCCAGGGTGTGTTGCTTGTCCGCTGTGTTGCCTGTCCGCTGTGTTGCTTGTCCGCTGTGTTGTCTGTCCGCTGTGTTGTCTGTCCGCTGTGTTGCCTGTCCGCTGTGTTGCTTGTCTGTTTTGTGTTATGTGTTGGTGTCAGTCTATCTATCTCTCTATCTCTGTTTTACTGCCTGTCAAAATATAATTTGTATACGTATTTTTAGATGTGTGTGTGTGTGTGTGTGTGTGTATGTATTATTTACTCATCCATCTATCTATTCATCTATGTATCCATCTAAAACTCTTGTCTATCTCTCATACATCAACCTGAATCCATCCCATTATAACATAGAGGGAGGAACGGGTACGTGAAGCCATGGTACGTGAAGCCAGGGTACGTGAAGCCATGCAACAGGACACCACCCCCCACCACCCGGAGCCTGGCGTGTGGTGAAGCGTGTCTGCTAGTGAGTAATACAGAGGCCACGGTCTTAGCGGTCCCAGTCTTCATGGGTCCCAATAAATCCCAAACCCAATAAGACCCCGATCTATCGTGCAGCCATGTGCGTGTCTTGCTACCATCATCACTCCACGAAACACGACGCGTATACAGCTGCTTTGTTGAGCCGAGCGTCTGGTGGTGGCGGCGCTAGGCTGGATGGGATTGGATATTACTGGAAAAAATAACACTTTTATTGGTATATAAAAACACATAACTGTTTACCGTAAAAAAAAATCGAAATAACATTGGCATTTTATTTTACATTGACTCATCCGTAGAATTGTAGATAGACAAGAAGGTGTGACCCCGAGCCACCCGAGCCACCTGACCCGAGCCACCTGACCCGAGCCACCTGACCCGAGCCACCTTTCCCTATTATCAAGCATTTATGGCCCAACTGGCTTCTGTTATTACTTCCCTTGTCGATAATGGCGACGGTGGTGATAGTTGTTGTTGATGGTGGTGGTTATTGTTACTGGTGATGGTGGTAGGTTAGGTTAGATTTACAGTAAGTTAAGTGAGAATAGGTTTAAAATTGATATAAGTTAGGTTAGATTAGCATAGCATACAATTAGGTTATGTTAGATTCAGATTAGTCCAGGTTAGATATAGGTTAGGTTAGGTTATGTTAGATTTTAAAGTAGGGGTGTGTGTGTGTGTGTGTGAGTGTGTGTGTGTGTGTGTTAGCCTGGTCGTTCATACACCGTTACAGTGAATCAATAACATAATGACGTCAGGGGGAATGTTATTGGCGGTCTGGGAACTTATGTAATGGCGTACTCGAGGCTGTGATTTATTTTTTTTATTTATTTTTTTACAGTCAAAGTCACTTCTGATAAATTGTTTTGAGACGATATTGAAAAATCTATTCTCTCTCTCTCTCTCTCTCTCTCTCTCTCTCTCTCTCTCTCTCTCACAACCTAGGTCACCTTTATCTATCTCTGTTTGTTTTTTTCCTCCTGTGTTATATGTCATCATTAACCCCTTATATAATGGTGTTTACAGGAGCAGTTATTATTGGTCATTTACCCGTTGTGGAGAGGCTCAGGAGGGCGCTGGTTGCATAAGAGAAAACAATTAAGGTGTTGACTCTATATGGTGGTTTATACGTGACGTCACTTCCTGTTGACACGATGCCTTAGCTGAGGTTATTCTTGTAGGTCTAATCTAACCTAACCTAATCTAACCTAACCTAACCTAATCTGACTTAACCTTACCTAACCTAACCTAATCCGGCTTAACCTGACCTGACCTAACCTAACCTGACCTTCACATATCACTTCCTCGCGTCATCGAGGTCATAAGAAACATAGCCTGAATAAGTCACGAGGTTAACTGACTGACTGACTGATTGAGTAGTTAACTGACTGAACGAATGAATGACTGAATGATTGAGTAGTTAACTGACTGACTGACTGACTGATTGAGTAGTTAACTGACTGACTGACTGACTGACTGATTGAGTAGTTAACTGACTGACTGACTGATTGAGTAGTTAACTGACTGACTGACTGATTGAGTAGTTAACTGACTGACTGATTGAGTAGTTAACGGAGTGACTGACTGACTGATTGAGTAGTTAACGGAGTGACTGACTGACTGATTGAGTAGTTAACTGACTGACTGACTGATTGAGTAGTTAACTGACTGACTGACTGACTGAATGAGTAGTTAACTGACTGACTGACTGACTGTATAAAGCACCTGGTTGATGGCGTGTGGTGCCAGTCAGCCATCTCGTGTTATGTATTATCTACGTGGCACTGTGGCATTCCTCTCTCTGACCTTGACATTATAGTGCCAAGAAGCTGACCATTCCATCGATCCCTGGCACTACACACACACACACACACACACACACACACACACACACACACACACACACACACACACACACACAACGCGTCTATATTTTTTCACCGAATAATATGTATTTTATAATAATATTTTGTGGTTGTTTTTATATACTTTATATGTACCCTTAAGTTAGTGTAATAATAATAAAAAGTAAATAAATAATAATAACAATATAATAATAATAATAATAAGTTTACCATTACTGTATATCACTATTTATTTATTTATTTATTTATTTATCGTCACCAGTCACAGCAGTACACCAGCCAACGGGTCATGTAGCGATAACAGCAGTGACGACGAATTGGATCACCATCACCGCCAGCACCACAACCATCATCACCACCATCACCATCGACCACCAGCCATCCGGACAGAGATTCGTAAGGAGGCGCTGCAGGAGATCGAAACCTTCAAGCAACTGATCGAACGTTATTTTACTTTACATCCTCGTCATGACAGCATTACAGCCCACGCCCACGAGATTATCCTGTAGCAGTCACGGGAGGATGAGGAGCTTCTGCAGTAGTTCTAGGGTCCTCTTGAAATGACTAAGGGTAGGAATATTGTGGTAGCCTTAGGACACAACTGAAGTAGCCCCTAGGATACACCTGTAGTAGCCCTGGGATACACCTGTAATAGCCCCTGGGATACACCTGTAATAGACTCTGGGATACACCTGTAGTAGCCCTTGGACACCTGTAATAGCCCTAGGATACACCTGTATTAGTCTGAGGACACACCTGTAGTAGCCCTTGGACACCTTTAATAACCCTAGGACACACCTGTATTAGTCTTAGAACACACCTGCAGTAGCCCCGAGAACGTCCTGCCAGAGACTAGTATGGTATAAATTTCCTGCAGCTAGTATAGGAGAAAAACTTCCTGACGAAGGCCTGGGGATAGGGTACCAGCACTTCAGGGAGTTCCTCTAACACGACGGTGCATAACACTCCAAACATACATACATTAAGGTGTGTGAGGTGGCTGACTATTAACTAGGAATGTTGATTGTAAATTTATATAAAGAATTAAAGGAGAGGTTGAAAGGTAAATATATGGAGAGAGAGAGAGAGAGAGAGAGAGAGAGAGAGAGAGAGAGAGAGAGAGAGAGAGAGAGAGAGAGAGAGAGAGTATATAGAATGCATAAAAGAGAGAAAGTAAGAGTGAGACAGACAGAAATAAAGAGAGAAGGAAACAGTAAAACCAAAAAAGAAAGCGAATGAATGTGAGAGAGAAAGATATAGATTGGATGTTGAAACCCATTTTATTATCCTCTCAGTATTTTATCTAAGGATCTAATTTTTATCCATATCCATGTATGTATAAGAAAACCTAACCTAACCATTACACCTTGCCTATGAGAGCTATTCATTCTCAGGAAGTTTGAGCTGGAGACTATTGATAGTTTAGATAGTAAGTATAGTAAATAATTTATCCGGTTTACTGTATAGGGATGTCTTTATGTAGGGGTCTAGCTAGATACATGTTGGGTTGTAGTGTACCTGGACTAGTCTCTACCTGGTACCTGGACTAGCCTCTACCTGGTACCTGGACTAGTCTCTACCTGGTACCTGGACTAGTCTCTACCTGGTACCTGGACTAGTCTCTACCTGGTACCTGGACTAGCCTCTACCTGGTACCTGGGCTAACCTACACCTACCTGGTACCCGGCCTAGTCTCTCACCTGGTACCTGACTAGCCTCTACCTGGTACCTGGACTAGCCTCTACCTGGTACCTGGACTAGCCTCTACCTGGTACCTGGATCTAGTCTCTACCCGGTACCCGGACTAGTCTCACCTGGTACCTGATGACTAGCCTCTACCTGGTACCCGGACTAGTCTCTACCCGGTACCCGACCAGCCTCACCTGGCAAATTGACCAGCCTCACCCGTTACCTGGATTCAAGTCCCTACCTGGCACCTGGACCAGCCCTCTACCTGGTACCTGGACTAGCCTCTACCTGGTACCTGGACTAGTCTCTACCTGGTACCTGGACTAGTCTCTACCTGGTACCTGGACTAGTCTCTACCTGGTACCTGGACTAGCCTCTACCTGATACCTGGACTAGTCTCTACCTGGTACCTGGACTAGTCTCTACCTGGTACCTGGACTAGCCTCTACCTGGTACCTGGACTAGTCTCTACCTGGTACCTGGACTAGCCTCTAACTGGTACCTGGACTAGCCTCTACCTGGTACCTGGACTAGCCTCTACCTGGTACCTGGCCTAACCTACACCTACCTGGGACCATTAACTACCCATTAGACCTGGGATTCAATTCACACGTTACCATATAAGGCATTCCAGTGATGGCCAGAGACAGAGTAGATCATTAATTGTCAAACTATTTCTTCATGTTTACCTTTATATATTGTACACATGAGGTGAGACTTATGTTAAGTTGTATAAGCACTTAGTATGTTTTGTATATTAGTATGTAAGTTCACTAAACGATTATTTTTAACAGTACTTTTCACTGCACCTTTTTTTTTCACTGTGTTGCATTTAGAGCTGGAATCTGTACACTAGTTCCTGTTGGGTAGTAAAGATACGTAAATTCTTGTTCTGTAGTTAAGATCCCTGAAGCACTTGTAGCGTAGTTATTTTGCTCTACTTGTACCAAAGTCGCGCGATAGTCTCCTGTCTGTGTTGGTTGGTGAGGGTTTAGGGGTAACGATACACATCAGCCACAGTTTGGTTGATCCATCTCTCCTGAAGTGTCGTAGGAAATTAATAAATACCTATCCTTATAACCTAACCATCAAATCAAGTCAGTGTTAGGACGGTGTCACAGCAGCAGTAGGAGGCTGATGTCAAGGTTCAGGTGACGGCTGGGAGCTGGGCGACGTAGCAGTGATAACCTATCGCGTATTACCGGTGACTCTCCCCCCACCTCCCCCTCTCCTGTCATCCTGCCTGCCTCCCTCCCATCTCCCCTCTCCTCCCTCTCTCACCCTCATTTCACAGCTGTTTATAACATTACACACACACACACACACACACACACACACACACACACACACCCCTTATTTATATCACATAAATACAAGTCTTGAAATATAATACATTTTCTTTGCATTTTGTTAAGTAAAAACGGACATAACAAAGACAATGAAATGTTTTGTGAATATTTTTTTTTTTACATATTTTTACATATTTCCTGTATTAACAATTTCCTTGGTATTCGATATACAGGTGATATGCTCAGGTATTTAGTTATTTACTTAATCAAAGAGGTGATAGTGTGAGTCATGGTTCATAGTCCTCCCCCTTCTGCTACCCTTTCACCTACCATCCTTCACTACCACCCCTCACACCCACCTCACCCCACCTCCCTCCCACACCCACCTCCCTCCTTACCCACCTCCTCACACCCGCCTCCTCACACCCACCTCCTCCACCCACCTCCTCACCCACCTCCTCACCCACCTCCTCATACCCCACCCCTCACCCAGCCACCCCTCCCCCCCCTCACTGGCTGGCTCCCTCACACACCCTGGGTCGATAGTCTGCCACCACTCTGTGACATACTACACACCTTGCAGAGCATGCTGACCCCAGTACTAATGGTTCCTTGTCCCAATGGGCCTCAACTTAATCTAACCTTACCTGATTTAAACTAACGAGTAGGACAAGGCAGCATTCCTGATGGTTACGTTAGTTTAGGCTCTGGGGTCTTTTGTGTTTTAGGACTGGAGCCTTCTTTGGTCTGGGGCCTTTCTTGGACAAGGGCCTATTAAGACTGGTGTCAACTTGGAAGTGGGATCGATTAGGACTGGTGGATATTAAGACTGGGACCAAGTGGGACCTACATATAGATTCAACTAACCTAGTCTCGTCTTGGGCCCGATTCTAATCAGAGAACAAAATCCATCTAAATATCAGCGCGGCTTTGACTCGATTTGTGTCATATGTCAAGCGAGCATTTCAGATACTTCATCACATAAGAACATGAGAAAATAAGGAGTCTGCAATAGGCAGGTTGGCCTGTGCACAGCAGCTCCAGGAAGAAATTCATCATACGATCACTTCAGAATCCGAGCCTGTGGGAGCTATGTGGTGTGTGGGACGCTGATCTGGTCCAAACTGGTCCTACTGGGTGTTGCCTGCTTGTCAGGATGAGGGAAATAGTGTCAACCCACCTTATACTCACCCTCTTCTTTCGTCCCGTCGCCACACCCGCGAGGAAGCTATCAGGCGTAATAGCTTCAGTTTAGAGGAGCCTTTAACCTAACCCAGGGTGGCGGGTCAGCTGGGTAGAAGTAGTGTCGTATTTCTTTTGTTATTCTACGCATTTCTCTTCCTGTACCCGGACACCTACACCACCCCGCCCTAACATGGTGCTGGTGTGGCGCTGTTATCGTTGCTGCCCTTACTATTGTTTGTCTAGCTACTATTACTACTACTACTACTACTACTAGTAGTATTACTATTGATGCTGCTGTT